ACTTATAATAGGTACACATTATGCAGGTTTATGGAAATTAAATTTACGATGGCACCCCCCGTACGGCCACCTCACCGCTCCGCCGGAGTTTCGGTCGTGGCGCTATAACTATACATGTCTTCTGACAATCCCACCCCTACCTCTGCACAATCTCGATAATGGGTATGGCATACGCTACTGCCAGTACGGAACCTATAACTCATATACCTTGTCGCCCTGTCGTCTCCCCTCAACACACGATTACGTTTTACCTATTAGAAAGTATGCGTCAACCCAAACTGCCTTTAAAATTATTCTGACAGTGCCTATAAATAATATCATTACCAATTACAATAGTAATAGGTATGCACGTGCGGAATATAACAAAACAAATATTTATAAACGATTCCAGATAGTTTCCAAGGGTAATTCAATATATGATTTTATATTCTACGTTGCCTAAATCATGAGTTGATTTTCAGTTAAACCCGAGTGTAATCGAGTGCTGTAAACAAACTTCGGTGTTTATTTGACTGGGCTGCTTTTATTGGACAACACACGTCATCCATAATCGTGTTTGCTGCACGACAGAGTAGTGTCCTCTACACATTGCAATGTGTACATTATAAAATGCAAGAGATATTCGTGACTGAAACTTTAACTGCCATTCAAATTCACCGAATACAACTAAATATTATATCTGTCGGGCCGTACTTAATTATTCTGTTCTAAAATCATATGATAATATTGCGAGCGTTTCAATTTTCATCGATAAAATTACCACAACTATATTAACACTAAATCCGGTTCTTTTGATGTATTCGCATCAACCAAATCGGTCTAGCGAGAGCTGACATTTTTCATGGACAACACACAAAAAACGCATCATGGTAAAATAAATACCTTCTTAACTTCGCATTGAAGCTAAAACTATATTGTTGGACACATCCGTTTGAATAGATAACCCAACCGAAACCATTGAACATGTAGCGACAAAATAATTATTCGGTATGGAGATCTAAAGTTATATATGTAGTAGAACTAGCAATAAATAAATATATTTATTTAATTATTCCAGCTAGTTTTTTAAGTTTTACCAACTACATTTTAGTTGTTATTTACTATATAAAGATTATTTTATCCCGTGTTCTAAAGTAATTATTAAATTTCGGGCATAAATACTAACAAACTGTTCGTTTCAACGTAACAAATATTTATACTTACACTATTGTCATAAATAAAATAAATAAATAAAATTTCAAATGTCAGCAATATTTAAAATAAAGAAATTATCAAGCAGCTTTTTCAAGTGTTTAAACCATAGATTTGATATTGTATGAATAAACAACAGAATTCCGGTATTATGTATATTAGATAATAATATTATGCACATGTTAAGTGAGTCTTTAGAATTTTAATAGTCATCGAAATGAAACTAAAGACGACCGGTTATTACGGTAAAGTATGTTGTATGAAATATTAAATTTAAAAAGCAAAGACTCTATTTTTATATAAGACCGCAATTTAATGATATTATATTCATAACTTTAAAACTACTCTAAATTGTTTTTACAATGAGCAGAGTCGTGTGGATATATCGACGTGGATTTATTTGAAAAATATCTCAAAATTAAACAAATTAAATAATATATGGGAAATATTTCTATTAAATAAATCAATAATCATAAACAATGAAATTTTTAAGTGAAGACTATACAAAAATCATTAAAATTGTTTAGTTGTAAATTAATATTTTTAATATAATTTTAAACAAAAACTATTCATTATAGAATCAATACTCGCGCCTATAGTTGATACATTAAAAGTAATTGCATCAACACTTTTTATGAACATCAACCACTACTTTGAATACATAACAGAATTTTCGAAAGCGCTTAATATTGATTATTTTTATTAACAATAATATTCGTTTTTTTTAATTATTCAACTACAGTAACATTTGATTTATGTGTTAACTCTTTTCTGTAATTAATTATTTTAATTTCTAAAAATATATAGATTCCGATTTTGTAATTATAAATATACAGAATGTTCAGTAAGTAAAGAAATAGGTCAATTTTTACCAATAATGTAAACTTTAGAAATCCTATTTATAGTACAATTGTGACAAGTCGAAGAACAGTTATGATTAAACGTTTTCGATTTATGTATTCAATGAATGAGAATGAGAAGCGTTCTGATATTATTGAAACGAGAGATAATGTGTGGAAGACCAAGAGCAAGAATTCGTACAATTGCCATTTTCCTAAAATTTTCTTGAACTTTTTTTGAACGTCTGTCTGGGTTTCCAAAAACATTTTTATACAAATTTCCCTAGTTTATCACTGCTAACGAGTTTCTAAAAAATATTAACGATGAACATGTATGTTCAAGTAAAAAAGTTTGTAATTATTTTACGATTTGAGATGAGAACTACTAATTAACACTATGGTGCCGTTTTGTACGAAACAGATTTCTAAACCTCTCTTTTTATTCATGAAGATTTGTTCTACATGTTAGCAGTGACGTATCTGATAAAGTGAATAAAAATGGTCCGGAATATGTAATTTTGTAGATTATATTACTATGGCCCTTCTCATTGTATAATCCTTTCTACGCGAAGTTTATTTAATACTCTTACTTTCATTGATCATTAGTAATTATTGGTTTTATTTTTGGTAAAATTTCAATTTTGGTATATGTACTAGATACGCTGTTGTTCGTTTTAAGACTTTAAGAGAAATAGTCGGTTCGTGTGATGTTGTCTGAACAGTTAACACTACCCAATTAAACCCAAGTCATAAAATTCTAACGATTTTTATATCCGAGGACGTCTAAATTGGTCACAAAAATGTGTAATTTTGTTACATCTCAAATGATAAAATAACGCGTTGAGTTTACGAACAATGTTCTCGTGCAAAACAATGGTTGTCATTGTATAGTTTGTTCGCGGCTTTTAAACTAAATCAATACTGAATTGATATTACACAGCATAAATCAATATTTATTGAATTACTGTCGGTCTATAAACACATATTTCCAATAAATGAATTGCGATCAAGTAGATTGACTTTATCTGAGTTTTGATTAAATAATATTAAAACGAATATTAAGAAACATTGTACATAACGCTGTTAGATATGCGAACAAAGGTGATTTATAAAAATTACTTCGAGTGTCGCCATCGATTAAAAACATTATTTTACAGCAATACTCACAGCGCTATACACGTACATTTTATTTTATCTATTAACAACAGTCCAACGGTTCATTTGAACCTAAAAGTCATTTGTTTTAATACATTTAAACGCAGCACATACTTTATCACATTATAACGCAGTAACTAAACCCTTGATAGCCAAAAATAATGATTCTCTGCCGTAACACCGTTGGAAAAATGTACTTTGAGCCGAACAATTTTAGCGCCAATTGTTCGATTGGGTTTCTATTTAGTCTAGAGACGCTTATATGATCTCAGGCGGATGTTGTGTGGGTAAATTGTAAAAATGTGATCTGTTCCATGAAACTTTTTCCTCGGATTGCATATAATTACGCTTAGCAATATTCTATACAACACAACCGCGCCATTAGACATACGTACAATGCGTTTTTATGGAAATTTTAGGTCGATAATCGTTCCGATTCTCATCGTTAATCGGTAATACGCATTTAAATTATAGTTATTTTATTTATTTTTTGTCTACTCTCCGAGTTGCTGGTATGTGAACAACGGGAGTCACGGGCGCATTATCGACTCAGACTATCAGAGTTGCGAAAAATCGAGTGTACGACCGTTTTTATTTATATCGGCTGGCATAGGACAGTACGTGCGAGTGCTTTGTATTTATTTTTTTCTGTGTCGAGATGAACCCAACAGATACAGTAATTACCAGGCAACACCTCTACAGCAAGTGTTTGCCGTAATTGATTTAAGGCGTGTTTGTAGCGCATTGCGTTGCTATAGCTGCTGCTGCTGCCGAGGACAAAACTGGCTGCCTTTGTCGTGTAATATCGGTATTCAACATCTGGGGCTGTTCACTCACGGCACATGAACCAACTAAACGAACGCAGAGAGAATAATACGCGTTTTTAAATGAGAATCGTAATAATAATAAAAACAGTATCTTCAATCGGTTGTGCACAACGGTAGCGAACGGCGGATCCACTCGACGGCAATAAATCGTCAGCCGTATTTTTATTTTATTTTTTTACGCGGTTTCTCCGTTATCGGATTTCGTTTTTGCAACCAAGTGATTCACGCCCCGCGGCCGCCTTTTCAGCACAAGGCTACTAATCTAAATCTTCCCACGCACGGTAGACACGGCGGTTTCAGTAATTTTTCCTTATTCTCCTCTCGTTTGCGATCGACGAGCATCAGAAGAAACGCGACACTCGCGGGTTTCCATAGGCGTGCAAAACGAGTACGCCTCTTGTTATTCGAATAGTTTGCAGTGCGCGTTTATTTCGAATCGCTTATGACGATCCCGACGAACGATAGACACAATTTAAAAAACGCGGTTTAATGATGACATTCAGGTGATCACCACACGGACGCGTTGTCGTCAATGAACGATGATCGCGTCCCAATGACCGGAAAACTCGGTTGGCTCGCACTATATCACTGGCACCAATAATGATAATTGGCAGGACGTTACTCCGACACCCGTGTAATTACAAACGGCGTTTGTCTGCACTGGCTCGCGGCCGGTCACGTCAACGGTGTACGTCATAGACCATCGGCAACGATTCGCTTGCACGCTGACGTGTCGATACATAATTTATTGTATGCGGTGGCTTTATAGGTCGACGGATTCTGTTGTTGACCGCGGTCAAGGTCGCGTGTTGTACCTATTTTTGAAACCGTAATGTCGCGTGTAAAGTGTTTTGGTCACGTCACGCGCGTTTGCGGCATCCGACAGACACGCAGAGCAGACGCCGAACCCGCGAAAAACAACAACAACAACAACAACATCGATATCGAAAAATGTATAGGTAATAACAATAACGTGGAATGCTCTCACCTTGGAAGTAACTCTTCGTCCGGAGGTAGCTAACAGACAGCCGAAGTATGGACAGCCTATCGAGCTTGGACAGGATATTGTGTTCAAACGGCAGCAGATTGGCTAGTGTATCCAGTTCCGCGTTCAGCCGTTCTCGGTGACGTTTGCTCGGATTGCTTTTACCGACGCCGCCATCTTTTGGAGTCGCCTTCACGCTGAAACAAAACAAAAGTATTACGTTTCCAGTGTACTCTGGTTTTTCAAATTTATTTAACCATTCCTGTTGATAACATATTCCGTTAATCAAGACATTTTTATTATTGTACCGATAATCAATTTGAAACCTCAGCTCCTCTCGTTCTTCGCTAAATCAAGTTAAATATGAATATTATTGTACAGCCAAATACACTACGATACACCATAAAGGATTCTATGTGTCAACAACACTTGCAACGAAACGGCCCAATTCAAACGTATTATTGTAACGATAGGAACACAATCGACTACCAGCGAGAACGAATTCCAAATCGTAACTATAGTTTTAATAAAAAGTCACCAACTCATATCCGAAATCTGTTTTGTCGCAATAATTACCAAGCCAAGTATCGTCTCCTGTATATAATTATAGGACAAAAACATCCATAAAACTAAAATGGATTAAAAAAGAAAATTGTTATTACTCGTCTTGTGACCCTAATGTATTTGTAACTGTCGCCAGTTTCGGATTAACAAAATAAATGATACAGNCAAGTATCGTCTCCTGTATATAATTATAGGACAAAAACATCCATAAAACTAAAATGGATTAAACAAGAAAATTGTTATTACTCGTCTTGTGACCCTAATGTATTTGTAACTGTCGCCAGTTTCGGATTAACAAAATAAATGATACAGGTAACGAAATGATATTTTTTCCCTACATTACAGTTGTAGACACTACAATATATTCTTTGTAAGAACACACTCGGGACACGTGACCAAAATACGCTTTAACCCTTTTCACACCGTTTTATTGTTAGTTCATGTTACTCATTAAAAAGCCAACGTTAAAATTGGTGACCGTATTCAATATAACTTAATCATTTATCACTGTACCGAAATGAGAGATACCGGAATTAAGATTAAACCTTAAATAGACAAAATTTTTCAATGTTTTGTCAATTGACAATGAACATTTGAATGTTATCTAGATCTACAGGTTCACATAAGCGTATACAAATGATAAATACCCCAAAGAACACTTAAAAAAAATTGTTAACACTATACAATATATGTATCCAAGTTTTATTTAACATTTTTTTTTAAAATTAGTACTTTTTTTGTCACAATATCACTATTCAATACGCTATATTTCCAAAACTAACTCCATGACTTCCTAGTGACTTACNTTGACAATGAACATTTGAATGTTATCTAGATCTACAGGTTCACATAAGCGTATATAAATAATAAATACCCCAAAGAACACTTAAAAAAAAATTTTAAAAATTGTTAACACTGTACAATATATGTATCCAAGTTTTATTTAACATTTTTTTTTTTAAATTAGTACTTTTTTTGTCACAATATCACTATTCAATACGCTATATTTCCAAAACTAACTCCATGACTTCCTAGTGACTTACAAAAAAAAAAATGTTTACCCAAAATTTTGTTAATTTTGATTCGATAACCTTTTCTCTATCCCGTTTAAAAGATTTTATTGAAAATAGAATCCACTAATTTTTGTACCCTTGGAAATTAGGATTAGAATATTCGTAAACTTTCCATTCATTCCTGTTTCATTTTTTAACTGTTGATACACAGTGAGTCGAGTAAATAGTCGGACATAGTCTAGAAAAAATAATTTACCTTTCGAATTGCCATCGTCTTACAGAACATTAAGAAAGGTCAACACTGTTAGAAAATTGATTGAACGAGTGCTTTAACTAGGGATGTCATTTGAGGGGGAGGGCAGGGTGTGTGGTTGCACTCTTATTTTAAAAACAGGCCCAATTGCCCGGCAAAAATAATGCTCCAATTTTGTATACATCAATTCAAATTTCAAAAACATTGTATTATCATGGTTACATGGGTCGTTAAAAAAATATTTTGTTATCAATCAATTAAGTAAACAATAAATATATCATACTGAACCATTAATATTCGTGCCGGGCACAAGATATTGATAATGATATTAATGTTCGTAACTGTTTTTATCACAACTTATTTGCCGCGCAGTTAATTGCTAACGGCAATGAAGTGATAAATATAAAATTCAACAATTGTTACGACCTCGACACTACGTTATATTATATAATATTAAAATAGAAAGTATTATTATATTTTATACTTACTACTTATGTTGATTATCTATGGAAAAATTAAAAGAAGAATAATCAACTTCAGTAGGTATATCTATTTTTATATGGCCTGATGAAATTTCAAAATGGCCTACTTGAAATCTCGCACTCCTCCCAAAAAAAACTGAAGTGACGCCAACTCGCTTAAACCTCATTTTAGGTAAGACAATGGAAATTAGAGATTATAAAAAAATAATTAGAAATTAATTATTTTTTCAAGACTATGTCCGATTATTTACTCAACTTACTATAGATATTCAAAACCTATAAAAATATTTACAATTACATCGCTATCTCGTGCGCTACGAATGCCGAAAAATTCCATTAATTTTTTTAGAGTACATGACTTGTATATCCACCCGCTTAATACGATAAAACTCAATTAAATTTTATTTGAATGAATGTTCATGGTTATAAAAAGTTGTTAAATAAAATAAAAATTACCGTGGTCGATATTTTCTATATAAGTTACCAGAGATGTTTTTCATAACTAGGAGACAAATTGTATGTTGCAAATACGATGTTAATTTTTAATTTTTTTTTGTTCGACTTATTGCGTTTTTACAATGTACTTATCAAGTAAACGTAGTAAGACCAACAACGCGCGTCTACGGCGACGGACAACCGTATAATTTAAATGTATTTTAGACATCTCTTCGTGTACTCTGACCTCAGCAATTACCATTAAATTATCCCTTTTGTAGACATACGCGTCCACCGCTGCAGCGTTTCGGTTTTGTTCTCGATTTTGTTATTTTTTCTCTCCTAGTACATAGTTTGTTATTAAAAATCACTTTTGACGTTTCTACCGAGTCCGTTTGTCTTTTCATCGTACAACTGTATTTCTTATTAAACCCATTTGGCTCGTCTATGTCTTCTTGTCGTCCTTCACTGTTTCGAATCAACATAGCAAGTCTTTGCTGCTGTTCGAACGTTATTACAGTTATTTTGCACATCAGAGTCCGTTGAAATAGCGGCAAACAACAATTGTAAAAGGCCGTCGCACCAAAATCATCATCGACTGGTAAATAAAAAAATGATTTCTATTTTCGCAGACGTAAGTAATGAATTACGCAATAATATAAATGTATACCATATCGTTTGTACGAATCAAAAACATTATAAATATATATGCACGGCGATTGCACAATGATCCTTATACTCGACAACTTAACGCTGTTGTAATTGCTCATGTTGTGTTTTGTATGAGAAAAAATTAACACTAATTATACAAATTTTGAAATGTACCCGTAACAACACGTTCAAGGAAATCGTGTTTCTAATAAAATTACATCTGAGACTTGATTGATAACAAATTATAGGCGCATCCGTTTTTTTTTTCATTTCGGGTCGACAGTTTAATATTAGGTCTTGGGTTCTAGTATTTTATTACACATACTGATATCTACTATTGCGTTTATGTTATAAAATATACATACTTATTCGATTCAGCAAGTTAAAGAAATAAAATTAAAGTAGAGGATTTTCAACGTACACCACCGTGATTACTACAAGTTTACAAAACTCGGTACGTTTAATCGATACATATTTTTATTTTAAAAACTATCGGTTTGTAATAATAAATAAAACGCTCGTGTCTTTATCTTGTAAAATTTAACAAACAAAACGAACTATCTGGTAAATAAATTAATAACATGAATCCGAATTAATTGGACGGTGGTGTGTTATTTTACATTTGAAAAAACCGTACAGACGATTGCCGATCGATTAAATGCAAATCGGCACATTCAAAAAACATGTAGCGTACTTAGCACGCATCCGACTAAAATGGTAGAAATCTATAATTTTTCTAAGTTTTTAATTAAAGTATAAATACATGATACAACATATCCTGAAATTCATGAACTGTGCGTCTTTTGTTTCACAGAGAGGAGTGCCTTCAACGACAAGGCATTGCCTTTACAACAGATGATGAAATATATGAAAAGTTCTCCGATTGGTTTTGATCAGCTTTTAGTTATGTTGTCGAGTAATTATTTTTTTGGATAAATTATTGAACATAACTCTCGATGAGAAAGTTAATTTTAACTACTCGTTTTTTACACGAATATTTTTAAGAAAAATAATCAGACGGAGCGCCTTGTTTGAACAGAAATTTGAATGTAAATATTTAATCGTTTTGAATAGAACTTGTTCAAAATAGAACAGTTCACTTTTGGAAACACTTGAGGTGAAATCGGTGTAACAAAGATAAATTGATTTTTCTGGTCAGTCAATGTACTCTGAAGGTATTGCCAATGAAATTAGACTTAAAACCATCACGAAGCAAAAACCAAAAACACGTTGGCGAGTATATATTGGTATTACGGCACTGCGCTGGGGGGGGCCTAATCCCCACAGTCAGCACAAGTCGTAAATCCATCCCCTCGCGCATACACGCATACACACGTGCGACGGATTCGACTGGCCTGTAGAAGTTGACCACTGATCATTACTTTTGCTGCAAAGGACGTCGGCCGCGGCAGAGGGTGGTGGTAGATCGCGTGATGGACAAACATTACATTACCGGTCCGGATCTACCGTGTGTGTGTTGTTCTTGTACGCGCGTCCCGTATATAGAAGTTACTGTAACATAATCTTCGGTAATGGAGCAAACTACTATTATACACACATAGCAGTGACGTCATGAAAAACAAAACGCATCAATTACAGAGAAACGCGCGTGGTGCCGCCACTGTAATAACATGTGGACACACATATATGTATAATGTAAAATGTGTTCGCTGCCCATGTATAGCTACCCCTACTAAAACGCGTTTATATTATATTATTACATAACATCCGATTTGTATCAATCAGCAAACGTCATTAAGTACACGTACATTCAATGTAAAGGTAGGTATCATAATTTGTAAAAACAAAAGCACTATGTGCTACCACAAGCAGTGTTTAATACCCTTTAAACAACCCTTAGACACCCGGAAGCTAGTGGATGCAGCCGGCCTGGGTAAATTACTTGTGCGTAACTGAGGGTTTGCGCCATAATTACTACTAGGGTTATATCTACGCGTACACGCGTTTAACCTTTAATTAAATATTGTTTGTGTGAAAGATTACCTTTTGCCATTCCGTCGGCGTCTCTTCGTAGCATAAACTGTGCTTAAAGGGTTGACGGGTTGGACGGGCGTTGACAAAGACGCGGTGGACTGGCCGCGCATGTGCCCACTGGGAGGCATCGACGGTGGCGTTATCAACTGGTGATGCTGCACGTGGTTCTGATGGTGTTCGATCAGTGGCTGATGATAAGATGTTGGGGGGGCGCCGCATGGCCCCGTCCCCGTTACGTACTCCGTTTTGGGGAAACTCAGGCAACCCGTAGGGTGGAAGTTGTACGTCCATAATACCAACCCACGCCAACAGCCATATCTTGCGGTAATTAATCACTGCAAATAAACCGTTGGTTAGTTCAATTGATCATTTGAAAAACATTTCTAAAATTGTGTGACGACTAGTAATATCAATTTACCAAAAAAAAAAACAAACGTATGTCTCTAGTATAATTCGTTAAGTTTGATAACTAACTATATTTGAATATGGAAAACTTTTTTTTTTTACTTATTACAAGAGTTTTATCAATCAGGTAGGTCTACCTGTAAGCCACTCTAAAAAAAATAATGATATCGAGCGTTACAATACTTATTATATTATGCACAACTTAGCAGGTTTTATAGACATTCGTAGCCATCTAGAGACAAATTTAACCGCAGATTGTTTTACAGATTATATATATCAGTGCTTGAAACTGTAAAATGACATTTGAACAAAAATTTTACGATTATTCCCTAATTTCTTAGGGCGCAAAGTTCATACAAGCTAAAGCAAAATTCACTAGTGAAGAATTATTGAAATTTTAGACTTAGAAATGTTTTGTTGATTAATACCCATGAAAAACTACAGTTTTAGAAATGAATAATATTCGACATTTTTTTATACTATTTTTGCTTGAAACTCTTATTACTTTTTAAAAATGAACAAATCAATATAATTTTTTTTTTTATAGAAACCCTAGGTATTTACCTATCATTTGGTATATTTTTTTGTGGAAATCTGTCCCTTTACCTGACCGCAGGATGGATTTCAAAATGGCTATTTTCCAAAAAAAAATTAAATTTTTCAACTTAACTTTTAAAAATGCATCGAAAATATTGACACATTTATACGTGTCTTAAATTAAAGTCTATGCAATATACTTTAATTTGAAAAAAATATTGACTTCTGGACTTATCTTTGTGGTGAAAACTAACATTTAAAGTTTAAGAAAAACATAAGATTTTTGTGTAAAAAATGGAAAATTCAAAATTTTTTAATAAGTTATGGAATAAAAATTTATTTGAAAGTGTTTATAAGGAATTAGTGAAATCTGCATTAAGGTATTAAAAAAGGGTGAAAAAGAACCAATTATTTTTTTACCCCTACTTGCAGATTTCTTATGATTGTGATTTTAATCACTGTCAGATATCATCTATACTTGTACAAACTATGCCAAGTCCACACTGTGCCGCGACCTTACTGGAACGCTGTTTTTATAAATATTTTTTTATTGGAAACACAATAATTTCGTAGTATGTTTTTGTGAAAAATAATTTTTATAAAAACATAGTTAATTTCATTAAAACTTGGATAATATAATATCAAATTTGATAAAATTAATATTAGACACAAATGATAAATTATTATTATATATTATCTTAATTTGAATTATAAATTGGTAAGTATTCTTTAAAGTAACTAGTAACTTGACTATTAAGTTTTAATGGAACACTCTTAAAACTTAATAATTTATAACCTAGTTTAATTAACTTAGCATAAATTAGAAAAAACTAACTTGCACAGGACTTGATAATAACTAATCACTCCAATTTCAATAATTGCATATTTTTTTTAGATAACTATTAGATTAACAATTTTGAATTGTTACTATATAACTGCTTGTTTATTCTGGTATGCCAATTATAGTTTTTGTATATTTTATGAATGATAGGTATTATTCATATTTTATTCAAATACTAGGTCACACAGTTTAAAAAATATATGAATATATACCAAATTAAAAATATACTAGGTTTGTTGATATATTAACAAAACTAGGATATTTTTAATTTGGTATGCAATATTATACAGATATAATTTGCATACATTTTGTCATCTTACACTATTAATTATTTAAAGTTATTGACCATACATTTTAGAACATTCATTAATGAAGTATAAAACAAAACTTATATAGTTTGTCAAAAAAAATTTATGAATCTATTTTATATATTTTTATTTTATTTGTTGAGAACAATTGAACTATTGATTAAATCTCAACAGTTGAAACTGAAAATTGACTAAAAAATAAATCTCATTTATATAAGTTTTATTTATATAGAATGTTTATATAAGTTAATTCTTAAGTAAATCTAATTAAATTGGCCTTACGAACATTCTCACACGTCAGTATGATGTTTTCAACGTACGGGTTAATTTTACATACAATTAGTATTATTTTGACATAAAATATCGTAAATTCGTACACTAATATATCAATTTCATCACTATTTATACAAATCTTCCCTTTCGTTGTATGCATAAAAAATGCTTAATACATAATGTGAAAACTCGGACATTTTTTTAAGAGTGTGGTACCCTTTTAATAATTTCCCGACATCAAAAATGACGTATTGCATTCTGTTATCTTTTCTCAAATTTCGTTCAAATGTATTTGCTAGAAACAAATAAAAGTATTAGTTTTATTTACTTAAAAACGTTTTACTGGTTTGACATAGCTCATCACATTACATTATTTTTGATAAAAATTATAAACACTGATAATAACGGTAGGCATACGATATTGTGTAAAAGCAATTGCAAAATTACTTTTTGTTTAATTATTATGTGTAGAGCTACAATAGCATATTAAAGGGGCTCAAAAGGGGCAATAGTGGCGCGTAGTACATTTTTTGAAATAAATTCTTTCTTTTAAGAAAAAGTAGGTATTTCTACAACTTAAAATCTAAAAAACTGAAATATTTAGGAGCATACAAATATTAAAAATTTATTTTATCTGTGGCAATTCATACTTAAATACGCCTCAAAAAATATAACAAATTACTGGTATTTTTCTAGCTTTGTAATCGGTAAAGTTTTTAGGCCAATAATGTTTAAATTTAAATACTAAAAAAAGTATAAAAGATAAAAAATAAGTTTGTGTAGAATTATAATTTATTAAAATAATATTTAACATTGAATTTGGCTATAGTAGTTTAAAAACATACATAATTTAACGGTGTTGCTCGCACAACTTTTTTACAAAAACTCAATTCAGTAGTTTTATAATTAGGTAATTTTAAATCATAAAAATTAAACGTTTATTCAATAGTAAAGCTTTATTATATAGTATGATGTGAAAGAAATTTTAGTTATTCAACAACTAATATATTTCCCATTCAACCAAATTAGATCAAAGAACAAACTAGATAAAAATCCAAATTTATATCCCAATTACAGCGATTGGAAATGGACAATATAAGTATACGATCTTGAATTAGGTTCAGCTTAAAAATGGCGTGATAAACATGTCACGGTGTTTCATTTCATTAAAAACAAATTAGTTTTACAAGAAAAACTTACACAAATAGCCAGTGATCTTGTTTTATTAGAAGTTTTGTCAAAATTATTCGGATGGATTGTGTACGCTATCACACAACGAGTTATTAACTATTGAAAATAAAACTTAAACAAAAACATAACATGCAATTCACTTGAAATTTATACACAATTGATATTAACTCGGAGCATCAATCAAACCAAAAATTTATGTTTTGTTAGTTAGAATTGATTCTTAGAAATTGTACATCGGAATACGAAGAGCCCCCCAAAACTTGACCGTCGTCTGATATTAATATACGGTGTGTAGCAAATGACGAAAAACCGCGTGTATCTGTCTGCCGTGACTGCCAACAACACCACCTCCGACGGCACGTCCAAGCGCACTGTATAAACGCACCGTGACTGCGGCCGCGTTCCGAACGTGCCGAGTTCGCAGACATCTGTAGCGGCCACGACTGTTACCCCCCTTTTCCCGCACTATCCAAGCTATTTCCACTGTACCGTCCCCCGCTCACCCATCCCCACCCAAAAACTACCTGCTCGCTACCACTTGGACGCTTTTCATTCCACTTGGATTGGCGGTGGGCAACGGACCAATGGCGGTTCTACCGCAGCAATGGCTGACAGTCCCGTGGGAGACCGCAGTCGACGGCATCAACCGTATCTGAGTACAAAACTATATAACCAGAGCAGAAATATCCGAGGAACAGTGGATCCGGTACTTTGTATGTATACTTTCATTAATATGCGGTTACCACAGTTGTCCCTGGCTAGTGTGTGTAAAGACTAATCAAATAGTAGCAGAGTGCTACTGTGTGTTGTTCATGAAGTTCAATGAATCATCACAGGGATCAAATACTATCTCATAGTTGGTTTTTCAATTTCAAAAATAAACCAAACAAGTTTTTTTATTCGAAAAAACACAATTGTGTTTGTTTNTCGTCGTTAAACCAAACAAGTTTTTTTATACGAAAAAACACAATTGTGTTTGTTTAAATACTCAAGTATCTGAGATATGACATTAAGTTCAAATCCTCAAGTATTTGGTAAATNACCAAACAAGTTTTTTTATTCGAAAAAACACAATTGTGTTTGTTTAAATACTCAAGTATCTGAGATATGACATTAAGTTCAAATCCTCAAGTATTTGGTAAATTGATCAAAGAAAACACTGTAAGAGATCTAAAAATTCTCATATGTCAGTATGAATTTTTTAATATACACGTTAATTTTAAACACAAATAGTATAATTTTAACACAAAGTATCAAAAATCTGTATATAAATACAACATTTTTATCACTATTTATCAAAATCTTCTCTTACATTGCATGTGTTGAAAACTTCCAGTATATGTTTATACAAGGAGGCAGTTGCCCCCTTGTTCAAAATACGAGGGGGGCAAAAGTATTATTACGCCCCTCCAATAGAATCTGACAAAAAAAAATACAATGAATCTGGAAATTAATATAACACTACCATACTTAATTATTTAGCTATTTTGGCAGATTTTAGGATTAAAAAATGTTAATGAATTTACTTAACTCCAGTTGAATATCAAATAACAGTAATTAAATTACTATCATAAGAAACGCTTCAATCCAAATCTGTAAATAGTGTTTAATTTTAAGAAATTGGAGGATTATTCCTAAAGCAAAATTAAATCCTATTTTTTTTTTCTACTTTGGCTGTCATTTGTACATAGAAAATAGGTCGTCAGTACAAATTTTTTTTTTTTAACTTAAAGTACATTGCATAAGCTTAAATTTTACATATGTTTTAAAAATGCAATGTTTCCAGAACATCATTAAAACTTAAGTTAAAAAAGTTGAGTTTTGTAAAAAAGTTGCTATTTTGAATCACCCTCTGTGAGCAGGTAAAAGATCAGATTTTTAAAAATATTATATCAAATAAAAGGGAAATTCATAAGGTTACGATACAAAAAAAGAAATATTTTGGTTCGTTAATTATTCAATAAGTTATGGAAGTTTTAAGCACCAAAATAACATTGATTTTTTAGATAAAAATTACATTTCGGTTTAATTTTGACGGCCATTTGCACATAGAAGATAGGTCGTCGGAAATTTTTTTTTGTATCTTATAGTACATAATTTCAGCTTTAATTTATCATATGTTTAAAGGACGCAGCATTCGCGGAACATTTTTAAAAGATAAGTTGAAAAAGTTGAATTTTGTAAAATTGTTGCTATTTTGAAACCCCTCTTATGATCAGGTAGATAAATGGGAAATTAATAAAGTTTCAATATAAAAAAAATTATTTTAATTTGTTCATTTTTCAATGAGTTATGACAATTTTTAAAAAAAAAGTAAACTAAATGACGAAATTTACCGATTTAAAAAAAATCGTCATTTTTAAGGGATTTTCACTATTTACGGGGAACGAAGGAAAATTTTTCAATTTTTTAGGCTAATGTCTTCAACTAGATATTATTTGTGATCTTTTGACGTAAATAAATTAACACATCATAGTAAAATTAATATGTACTTAGCTTCGCATCCAAGCTAATAATATGAAATATTAAGAGTGAAATTTATAAATTACCGATTTTTTTTTTAAATGATCACTAAAATGCACCAAAAAATAGCTTAACCCGCTTTTTAGCTTAGTAACAATCAATGGGACCTATTGTTTGTCATTAAATGTTTGCCCCTCCCCTCTGTAATAAATAATTCCGGCGCTCCTGATTATAATTTAATGTTATGTTACTTAAAACTATTATTTTAATTCAGTGTTTTTACTTTATTTTTAAATCAATTTTAAGAAGGCATTAGTCTATTCCATTCGTGGTTATATGCTGTATTGATATGTGACAGATGAGCAGGAACGCCTAGACCATGATACCCTAGCAACCCCTGAAATATTGTATGATACTATCCTAGTCACAAAACTTTTCAATATACATTTGAGTTTTTGTCGTTATGATCCTCCATTTAGTGTATTTAAAATTTTATAATTGTGATAAATATTAATAATAATTTTGATAGGATAACTGATCTAGTTATTAAACACCTCCCAATAGGTGAGCACTATCGGTATTACTTAAAATTTTTAATCTATGGAATCAAAGTTTAACAATTTTTTTAGTTTGTTAGGCATGACTTAAATGACAAAAATTAATACACATATGTTGACATCTAAACATGATATGAACAATCGAAATTTCGTTTTCAAAATAACCAAACCTTCCATTAAAAGTATAATCATTTTAGAGCATATACACTTATTATTTTACAGATAATAGAAATTAAATCATCTTAATCAATCTATTATATAATTTAACTTTGATAAATCATTAATCGTTCAATAACTAAACGACTTTTACCTATTACACTTATTATGAAAATGTAATTCAATATATTTATTTATATTAATCCGTACACTATGCAAAAATCCTTTGAAACAATCAACAAACGCATTATCAAAATGCGTTTAATAAACATTCTGTTAAATAAATTATTTTTTTTGTTAATTCAGCCATTATTTTTATTAGAAGACTAAAAAATTAGTCAAATGAATAAATACTTCATTATAGAAACACAAAAATGTTTTATTTTTATCTTTTATTATTGTTACTTTATTAATTAATTATTTTTAGATTATTACTAAATGATCAAAGGTAACTGTGACAAATAATTTTATTGCAATTAATAAATAGTACGGTTATTCCATGGTTACCTTTACTTGAAATTTTTAGTGGTTCAACATTTTATTTTATTTCATGGAAAAAATTTTATCAAAAAAAAATTCTGTCATCATGATTAGACTTATTCGTATATTGAACCCATTAACAAAAATTAAATCAGATAACACGTTTATCAGTAGAATTAATATCGTGAAAGGTTTTCTGTTGGAAATATTTGCCTTAACTTTCATGATAGGAAATTCCAGATTCTATTTCAATTTTTAATTTTGAGTATAACTTATTGTAGATAATTATTCAAATCATAATAAATATTTTTATAATTTTAGTTAATGAAATATTAATGATATTCAGTAACTATTTTGTTGTATAAGTAAGAAAAATATTAACTAATAGAATCTTCTAAACAATTGAATAATAACACAAGAAAAAATGTTTTATTGTATCAATGTATAACTTATAAAAAATAATTATATATTCATATTCAATAGTTAGCATACAGACTGGAACAGATTCAACTAATAATTATATCTTTTGATTAAATCAACATATCGTTATATATATATTTTAATTATGTATACATTTTTTAACTACGTTGAAATCAAATGTATTATTTTTCGTAAAAATTAATTTATTTTTAAATACGAAATAGCCAGTTTTTAAGTACTTTTCTTTAAAAAAATGTTGATAGTTCTATAATTATTTAGTTACATTTTAATACGTTGAGTGGGTATGTAACGCGGGTGGAGTATACGTCATAAGTATACATCAGATGAGCTCTACCTACCCGCGCTAATAATTACTCAATAATTACTTATCCAAAAGTTATCGACCAATCAATATTTTTCTAAGAAAAACGATTGGCTATTTTGAAACTGAAAAATAATTAGTATATACAAATAATAATGATAATACATTTGATTTTAACGTAGTCTAAGAATTCATAAATTATTAAAAAAAAAAAAAAATGCTATTAAATCAATTTTTGATATCATCAAAATTATTCGTTTAACAATCTTTTATTGTATAATACAATAAGGGAAATGTACAGGATGTTCAGTAAGTCAGGATACCCGTTTCCTGACTTACTGAACACCCTGTATAACTTCCCTATACAATTTTTTTTTTTAATTGTAATTATGGAGCTTCCCATAAGGATGAAAGACCTGTTTTGTAAGAGACCCCCAGGACCAGGACTGTTTTTAAGATTTCGACGTGTGTTGGATACATGAATTTTGGCACCCACAATTTTTTACACTATTGCCCTTATAAATAATATTGACGAACAAGTTTTCATCAAACTTGTGATGATAGTGTTAAAATAAAAATGAAGAACATAAAATAACATATAAAACATAACTACAAATATTTTTATTCGATCAAATGTATGTTGACAATATTTGTAGATTATGCTTCTTAATGTTGAGATTTGCTACTAAGAATATTTGGGGAGCTTATTACCTTTACGAATTACTTCCTAAATACGGCTCTGCTCAGACCAATATCGCCCTTAGTCCGGCCCCGACAATATAGATTTCAAAGTAAGGTTATTAAGTATAAGTTTTTAACTGAACATAACTCGACTAATTTTGAACCATTTGCTTTTGTTTGAAATGTCTTTGGTTTTCCTAAATTTTATTCAACTGGTGATTCAACGATTTTGCCCGAATCGCGCCTGTAGAATCATACCCACTGTTAAGGATAAACATAATTGTTTTTAGCTTTGTTCATCAATTTATGATGACAAAAAGTTCTAGAAAAATGTTAT